ATCTAACTGAAACTTCGTTTGCCTATTTAATTGTAGTGGTCGATAATGCAAAACCAATAGCGGATAAAGAACCTGTGGTGAGTTTACCAGTTTATTGTCTGCATCATTTTATGCATACGCATCCTTCCCCTAGACCTAGCAGTCTACGATGACGTGGACTGCCTACGCACAATTAGCCCCCGGGTTATGTAGACTATGATTAATGTCCACTTCTTTTGCCACATGCACCAGTTAGTCTACCGTAGCTATTTCTTCGGGGGTAAACGTTGCAGGGAGCGGAGCCTGATAGTACCAAATGCTTTTTGACTTGCGGACTGAAACCTTTTTATTCACACGGCTTATTCGGGTTTGACCACTCAAATTCGGCGTATTCATGTTTTGGTCCACTTTGCACTTCCATAATTGCATCATATGTTGGAGACAACTTTTAGCGTTTCCCAGCCCAAAATACCATCGTTTTCCGTCGTATACTTGCTTCTGGCCCGCAAGTAGCTTCTACTCTGTTCTGAATGCGAAAACACTTGGTATTTTCCGAAAAGCTCATGATGTACAACAATTTTCCCGAAGGTTTACTTGTGGTTTCGTCTGTTAAAGTTTCGTGTGAACCGGTTTACAAAGTTAAATTTATCTCCAACTGTTCACGGAGTATTTGCCCGTTTAGATTTCAAAAAAGTTTTGTCTTAAAAATACTGGAGTGACCGTTTCTGGTTGCTTTCCTATACTTAGCTAACCATATTCTAACTTCCGACCGAGATTCGGATCGGGTTTTGCGACCGTCCGCGGGAGCCTTGAAGCGAAACCTCGAGACATAACAAAAAGGTTCATTTTCTTCCTAAGGTCAGAGTAGATCAGTGTACTCTAGTCCCACGTAGTCTCTTAGAGCTCTTCCGTCGTGACCTTGCTGACGACTAATAGTCAAATGCCGCATTTGCTAGTAACCCAGGGCCGGGCAACGTTTAAGAACCAAAGTAGTCCACTCCAGCGTTGAGCGAGACAAGCAATCCTCCCTCCCCTTTTTCACCACCAGGAGGCGCAAGATCATTCTGGTTGTCCCCATTTTGATTGCGAATTCGGTCAGCTCAATCATCTTTTTGACTCTTCAAGATAGTGGTATACATAAAGCGAACGAACGTCTACAATTTTAGCTGAGTCTCATGAAACCTTTACTGAACTCTTTCGGTATTGAAGTTACTCTTAACTGAGTTTTATATTATACCTTTGCTAGAAACTGCGTTTTCATGCATGCTACTTTTATGTAGAAGTTGACATTAACCTTAGATCCCGTTTCCGAAGCGAATCCGTCAAACGATTTTCCTCCTGACCTTTGACCGTCCAGATAACTTTAAAAAATTAATTCTCCGGTATATCCCCACTCGTTTGCGACTGCACTGCTCCTAGCGACCGTTCCATTGAAATCACTCTTTACGCTTTCTCCGCGTAATCGTCTTTCCTTCTCTCTTACGTTTGATGCCCATTGAAGTTGGGGAATTTAGCCGAAGGGATCTGGGTTTGAATCATTTCCCAGTGTGCACCAGTCCCAGCAATTAAACCAAATTGACGGACGCTACTGCCGTATTTTTGACCACGACTGTTCATCTAAACTACTAATTAGCTCGGAATCGAACTTCAGGTCTGGCCAACCATAGATTTGAAAATGGCTGCCCAACGATGGCAAAAAATTGAAAATGGCCATGTCAGTCTTCCACGCTCACTTAGGCAAATTGTCCGACTTTCTATTTACTTGCTCCATTGAGATTGTGTGCGAGTACTCTGGGTCTGAACGAGAAAATCAAGCGTCCGTACTCCATCCTAGAATCAGACCAGTTCGATGGACGCCACCTGTTTACCCATATTTCTCTCTTGCAGCCCGCTGTGCCACTGGCAGCCGCACTCACCGTCTCCCCTACGTCGCCTGCCGCTCTCGAACC